TGAATTAACCCAAAACAGGTGAGTAGAGTACTCCATGTCTGGTCCACCTGTATTCCTGTATTCCCCAACCCATTCACCATTATCTCTCTCCTCCTCCACACCACCAGAAATCGCATCAAAATTGCACAAAATAAGAAGCGCTCAACAAATCATTTGCAAATTTTATGCAAAATACATGCAAAAGTGCTTGGCAAATATGGCCTGATCATCGGTATCAGTATCCGTATCCACGTATCTGTATCTGGTATACTCCGGTGTCGCTCTGATTGTGACCACGAACATTTTTGGAACGCTTCTCTCGAATTGAACTAGAATTTCAGTGGGTGATGATGATGGGGCGCCCAAAGCAGCGACTGCGGCTAAAATGTTTTTATGCGGTTCGCTTAATGTGTTTTGGCCATAAACCAACTGACAACTGGGCAAAAACAGCTAAAAACCCACGGATTCAAATGTGCGAAATGTTCGGGAGAGTGGCATCCAAATGACAACGATAACAAGTCGAATCCCCTGAGGGGGTCAGTGGAAAATCTCCTATCAGGAATCATTCTCAAACTTTTGTTGCCCCCGTTTATTTGTTTTCGCGGCCGCCTAATTGCATTTTCAACATTTCGGCCGCCGCACTCCTCTATTTATTTTGTAATTGAAAAAGCGTTGAGGGTGTGCCATTGACCATGACAAGTTTATTTAGGATAGGCACTTCCTCCTTCTACTTGTGCGCACACTGCGTGTTTTTTTCTGCGCCGTCTAAAAATGCCATTGAAGAAACAAAACAATTGTATTAGCCAGCCTGGGAAACTTTTTTCCATTGAGTAATGTTCAGAAAAAACAAAAAAGAGTTCGATTGTAAAGCAAAAAGCCGCAAGACATGTCTAGTTTTTGTCATATCGTGTCGGTAATGTCAGCAACGACTACTCAATTATATTACTACACGAAAGTCTGCGCTTGAGAAATATAACATTAGTTTAAGAATATGTTCTCACAGTTCTAAATTTTGAGGTTTAGGCATCAGAAAATTAATAAAATACATATTTATTTTAAGTGTTTATTTTAATATTCAAAATGAATTCACTATTATTGTTATCATTAATTTTTAAAGAGTAGGTTTCTGAAAATAAACCATTCTGAATCGATAAAATTAATCCTAATTTTAGACAAACTCTTCCCCTCATTGCGTGATTGGCAATTCCATTTGTGACTTGATTCCATCACAAATCCCAAAGTCGAATCCAAGAAAATTATTAGCAATATGCGAGAGGCAAATACAACATTTTTCAAAGGATTTATGCCACAGCCGGAAGTTGGAAGGCAGATCTAATAAGCCCCAGCTTCCAAGGGGATGGGGGCGGGAGGGACAAAGAACTGCCGGGGACAACAGCATAAATCTGACACGTTGCCCCAAAATTAATTCCATACGAGCCACTTGGGAGCGAGACTCTCGGCTGGAAATTGGCCACATCCACATTCACAGCCAGATGGCAGATGAGCCATCGCAAAACATTTTAGTGCCCCGCAGGCGGGATGCGGATGCAAGCACACAACACAGACAACTTATATTAATTAATGCAAAATTGCATTACGCATACGCACAGGTGTGCGGAGTGGAGGCTATGACTACCTGGCCAACACATGAAAAAGAGTCGTAAAATGAAAACTCTTTTGGACAATAAAGAAAACAACAAACTGGCAAGCGAACCAAGCTATGACATACTGAAAGATCAAATAAAGACGGTGCTCAAGTTAGGGATGGAAATATTTGAAGGTTTTAAATAGGAAAGTTTTTAAGTATTTAAATGAAATTAATAAATGCATTATTTATTACGATTTTTACTATAATATTAATATTATTATGGGTTTTTGTAAGTTTATCTATGATACTTCAAAAGTGCTTTATAAAAATTTGAAAAGTCAGCGTTGAAAGTAAATCTTACATTTTAAACTAGGCATTCAAAACCATCACTGCTGTGGGTGGAATCACTGTACAGTGCGCACTCTGCGCTTCCCATTTCTGGTGTCACACATGCAACAACAAGACCTTTCTTGCATCTAAGTTGCCACTTAAGCCCGGCCCGCTCTCCAATGCAAATTATCTGCCCCACAGCTCTGATTTGGCTCGAACTTTCGGACACTTATTGTGAGACTGCCGTCGTGGGGCCCGAGACTCCCAAAGTCTGCAGATTGCTGGTCGGCATGGCAACTTGCAACACATGCCGCACAGGACACGAATGCGAGGCCAGGCCAGGCCAAGCCAATCCAATCCAATCCAAACAGGCCTGGAATGGCGAAACGAGCAAATCACACAATTACTTATGTTCCACAGTGATTGGTCACATGGCACGGCTTAAACAAGACTAACCCAAAATTAATTCCCCCAAATTATAACACATTTTGATGAGTTCAGACAGACTGACAGCAGCGCTCCTTTCTAAAAACCATTCTTTGACATAATTAATCTGAAACGAATTCATGGTTGATCTATGGTTATTTATGGATCTACTTAGAGCTCAATGCTCGAATAGCGAAATAATTATACTCATTTATTACTCATTTTAATAAATTAAGACAGCTTGTTTAAGATGCTAAAAGACATTTGGCCTAATTTAGTATAATTTTATTATTTTAAGACAAGCTTTTGTGTTTAATCTTGCGAAATATAATGTAGGCTTTAAACTTAAACTTTTAAAGAGTTTAAGCCATATTTTGATTTACTATCGAGGCCATACAAAAACACCTTTACCATAAAGAGTTCTTACGCTGAATTCTTAAATATCTAATTTTGGAACTAAGCCGTAAAACTACTTTTAAACGGGTTCAATGACTTTAAATGTACATTTCAAATGCTCCTAAAAATAATTTTAAATAATTCAAATAAATTAAAGACTTTTGCTTTTACTTTAAACTAGGGTTCATAAAAGAGATTGAAAAAATATAGACAGTTTGCTATTCATCGATATTTAATTTGTGTTTTCCCTTCAAAACATCGATATTATCGAATCAATATTGTCAAAACATCGAAAATATCGATAATTTTCAAACTCTAATTCATAACTTTATATATTTTGATCCAGTTTTTGAATCTCTGTTGTTGCTCCATCCAAAAATTAGCGGCGCATCACTGGCTTCTTTCTTTTCACTGTCGTCAGGGGCTGTGTGTCTCCTCTCACGGAGTCTTTTTGTGCCTCTGCCGACTGCCACGGCTCACTAAACACGGCCAACAGAAGCGGAGAGTGTGGCCAACAATGCACACGATAAATAAACTGCTGTTGGCCATATGCAGTGGGGAAAGATGCAAGAAAAATTTGTTTGAAAATTTACCTAATGCTATTTTATAATAGTTTTTCTTTTACGGTTATGACAGCGCCGCCGCTTGGTTTCTGTGGTTAGGCTTCGTTGGGTCTGGGTCTCTGCTCTAACCAAGCCACTTAATTGTAAGGCCTGCATCGATTGCACAATATCGAATGGATTTAATAGAATTTTATGTCTTTTAATATAGTGAGGGAGCGACAAGGAAAGTTAAGTTAATTGGAGATCAGTTAGAAAAGTCTTTCAAAATAAAACAAATAACCTAAATTATTTCTTAGTTATTTCCTTCTTTTAATTAAGTTATAAGTCAGCATCACCTCCTCTAAAAAGCTTTTGACTATTTGGTTTTTTATTAATACCATACAAAATAAAAATGTAATTGATGGTGATGTGTTCCAGATATCGCTATCTTGAAAATACCAGTGAATTTCTGTGATGCCACTTCAATTTACACCTATCTGTGAAATCAACGCCGTGACGGGGATTTCGACTCTCAATTATTGCTGGTGGTTCCATCCTGTGGGCACGTAGGCATTTTGTCGGAACCACACGAAAATCGAGTCTGCCAGCCATTATACATTTTAGGGATTGGAGGACTGCGATTCCTCGACCGATCGCAACCAAGCGCAGTTAAGGATCTCGCGCAGATTCCAACGGGCATGTGCCTCCGGCTCCAAAAGCACCGAAACCGTAGCCTTGGCCTGGGCCGAAATCAATTCCTGCAGCTTGCGGCGGAAGGCAAACTTGCGATTTCGCTGATCCTCCAGCAACTTGGTCAAGTTGCTGTCATCGAACGGCATCTTGGCGTTCATCATGATGAACAGAATGACGCCCAGGGACCAGGCATCCGCCAGTTTCGGGTCATAGGGTCGTCCGCAGACGACTTCCGGTGCTGCATAGGCTGCCGATCCGCAGTACGTTTCCGACTTCATCTCCCGGCCATTATCGTCGCGACAATAGCGAGCGAATCCAAAGTCGGCCAGCTTGATGTTGAGCCGCTTGGAGAGCAGGACATTCTCGCACTTGAGATCCCGATGGGCAATGTCCTGGTTGTGCAGATACTTCAAGGCCTTGGACATCTGTAAGAACCAGATCTTCGACTGCTTCTCATCGATGGGACCCGACTTCTTGATGTGCGACAGCAAGTCCCCATTCTCCGCATAGCGCATAAAGATGAAGATCTTGGGACCGCGCTGCAGGATGCTATGGATTTGGATAATGTTGGTGTGATCGATCTTGGTGAGGATCTCCAGTTCGCGAGGAAAGAACTTGTTGACGAAATCGGTGGGGGCCTTCGCCTTATCGATGATCTTGCAGGCCAAATGAACACCGTGCCCGGCATCATCGGCATAACCGGCCGTTATGACCGTGGCATAGGATCCTTCGCCGATCTTGTGGCCCACATTGTAGCCCCGCTGGGCCAAGGCATCCACATCCGAGTTGCGTGTGCTTAACTGGCGACTCCCAGAGCTGGAGTTGTATTTGGACATGGCTGTAGAGTCCCCGGCGTGCGTGTAGTGTAAATTTCCAAGTGCTTCCAACTGCGCAGTTTGGTTGTGGGATCAGTGAATGGTTTTAATTTGTGTTGCGGACATATTTACCCTTAAGTTGGTTGATTTCACAAACTATAATTTTTTGCCACTTTGTGTATTTAGCTACTAAATTCAAATCCAGAAATTTTGACAAAACCTACAAACGTTATGAAGAGTGAGAGATGTATAAAAGATGTATTGGCAAAACCTGCTACGATGTGTGTGAATATGAACTTTGACCGAAACAGCACCGACTACTAGGGATTCGAAAATTTTGTGATTTAAAATCCAGCTTATATCTTTCGATATTTTGCATGTATTTTCCCATAAACAAAGCGGCTAAATTGCCACCAGGGCATTTTTTGTAAGGAAAAGCAAACATATATTATAAACAATAACATCTGCACCTTTTTTGCTAGCATAAGCAAATAGAAACTGAAGTTTGTGGGTAACATTTTCTTGAGATCAGAAAGCATAATTGCAATTTGCTAATGAATAAAGTTCTTAAGCAAAAAACAAACACAGAAGTAAATATTAAATAAATTAAGCTTAAATCCTAGTTTTTACGTAATTATTCGAATATTTAATGATTAAATATCCAGCATATATCTTTCGATATTTTGCATTTATTTTCCCATAAACAAAGCGGCTAAAATGCTAGCATAAGCAAATAGAAACTTAAGTTTGTGGGTACAATTTTTTTTACGCAATTACCTAAAGTTAATCTAATTAATTTTTCTCTATTACAGTCGCCAGCCTACTTCCCTTAAGCGAAGCCACTGGGTCTGCCCCCCAAACGCCTCAAATCATTAGAAATCCCCGTGGCAGCCACAACAACAGCGGCATCGGCGACTCAGAACTGAGTGCCTCGGAGCGGAGTCGACGACTGATACCCTACATGGCCTTCTATCTGCCCGCCCCCGAGTTGCCCATCAATCAGCAGTATGCTGCAACGAAGCACTCGTCATCGGCTGGTGGGGCACAGCTGCAGGCGCCGCCGCCAGGACCTGGAAGGATACCAGTGCCGGTGGCCTACATGCCGCAGCAGAAGCACCATGCCCACCACCACGGACCACCGCATCCGCCACCAGTTGCCACGCACTATCAGTCGGGAGCAGGCGAGGTGTACCACTCCTTGGCCATCGGGGGCCACCAGCATCAGCAGCATCCCCACGCGCCCCCACATCCGCCACCTGGTCATGTCAAGGAGCAGTCGGCGATCAGCGATTCTGGTGCCACTTTTATTGCCTACAAGCCATTGAACCCGACGCACAAGGCAAGTATTTGAATAAAAGTACCCTTGGTAGGAGTAAGTTCACTTGGGAACTCACTAAAAACTAATTTCTGTTTACATATTTTTTGTAATTTTTTTTCAAATAATATCAGTTGTAAAATTAAGCTTAAAATTTGCACTATCCCATTTTGTCGGATATCGGATACATTTTTTTACAACTAGATTAAATGTGTATAATTTTTTTCTGAGTTTTTGTAGCGATGAAGTCTTAAAGAGAATAAACTTAGTTAGGAACTTATTTTTAAACACTCTAAAATTTAAAAGGCATAAATAATTAGCATCTAAAAATTAAACTTAGTATTCATATAATTATGTTTTTTTATAAACAAAAATTGTATAGTGACAATTAAAAGATTTAAAAATTACGCCTCAAAGTTAATCTATTCCCCACTGAATTTCTTTAAACATAAAAAATTTTAAGGGTATTCAAAAAAGCTTTTGGATATTTTCCCGACCACTTTTTTATTACAATTGAATTCATAGATCATAAATAAGCATAAATAATCACGTAATTCATAATTTTCACGCACGCAGCACAAGACAGTGCAGCATTTTCCGCCGCTGCCGCCGTCGCCCAAGGAGCAACTACAGCATCCCCAGCAGCACCACCTCCTCCTGCACCATCAACACCAACAACCACAGCAATTTGAGATACTATCACCGGCTTTGGTGTCATCCCAGCCGCAGCGGCAGCGAGGCAAACAATCAAAAATCAATTTAACGCCATTTACAGCGCAGAACACATTGCCGGGACAGTTTATACCCATTATTTATACGCCAGTGAGCAGCGGCAAGCCGGGCTCCACCAATACCATAAATTACAATAACTTCCAAAGCAACCTGAAGCAGCAGCAGCCAGAAATTGTCTATAAAAATTCCCATCAAACACAAATCGTTACGGATTATGCAGCCGCTGGAGCTGTTGCCTCAGCCGAACAACCACAACAGCAGCCCTCATCATCGTCGTCATCGGACGAGGAGTTGGAAAAAGAAGAGAGGGAGGAGGAGCAGCAGCAGCAGGAGGACCATGTAGCCCAAGAGGAGGCGGTGGGGCAGCAACAACACCAACAGCAAGTGCAAAGCAATCCAAGGTAAGATTTTATTTGTCACATGTGAATCTTACAGCCGAAAGCTCAAATGTAAGTCAAGCTCTGATCTCATGGAATACCCAAACCATTCGCTTGGTAGGAAATTCTCACAGCCACGCCCACTTGTATATCGTGAGGTGCTGAGCTAGCAAATGCAATATAGCATGTAGAATTCAAATTAAAACCAGATTCATGTCATCGACACCTTGCCAAAAACTTCACATAAGCCACCAAAACCATCAATTTACAACACAACCCCTTGCTAACCTAAATAATTTAAAAGGGCCTTTAAAAACAAAGCACTAAGTTAAAAAAAAATAAAAATTAAACAGACAAAAACACTAGAGCTTGAAAAAATATCCACATTTTGCTATTTCTGTAAATTTAATTTGTGTTTTTCCTTTAAATTATCCATATTATCGAATCGATAATGTCAAAATATCGAAAATATCGATAATTTTGAAGTTTAAATAAACACATATTTAAAAAACCAAACTAAGCCAATTAATTTACACCAATTTGAGACTCGAAGATTTAACTAGGCAAGAAGCAACTGAAACTTTAAAATATTTCAATTTAAACCACATGCATTGAACGAAATCTGGTATTCCATTTGAGACGGATACTGTACAATGCAATGCCCTTGGGCAGAAAAATAATTGCATTAAATGCACCGGGCCCAATCCACTGCACTCCAATCTCTGACTCCGTCCGCTCTTCTCCAACTCTGAGCCGGGTCTTCCACTTCGTCACCATCTCTGAAACATTGCAGTGGTGACGTAAGATCCATGACGACAACGAGATTGCGTCTCCAATTGCCGTTCGATGTTCGGCAGGAGACACTGCCAATGGGCAAACGTGGGCTGAGAACCGACCTGGCCAGCATCTCATGTACCTCTCCACACGCTCTTGTAGTAATTGTCAAATTGCAAATTCATGTCATAAATAGCCAGCGGGCTCAGGTCAACAATCTGTCGTACAATATCGTTATCAGCGGAGGGATGGGAAATGGAAAAACACATTCAATCAGCGGGGATTTTTACAACCACCATACCGGTATTAAACATATGAATTTGGATTTTCTTATTTGTTATTGGATTTTAATTACTTAATGAAAGTCTCTTTTACTCTGGGTTACATCTTAAATATTGATTCAGAAAGTAAACCAAATCAAGAATTCAAAAGTAAAACATTTAAAGACTTTTAATAATCTCAAAAGTACATTTTTTTAAAGATAGATAGATAGAATATCTTGAGAAATTTGTTTTTTTCAATGATTAGTTTTAAATGACAGACAGCATTAAAAAATCCTGCCGCAAAAGTAGGATGATCTTGAAAAAACAAATTCCGAAATAAATTAAAATCAAAAACCCAGTACCCTCATGACATTTTTGCTTAGAACCGATACCATAACCGCTTTGCATGATAACCCTCCCACAGCATTGGCTACGCTTCCGTCTCGGTTCCCGATTCGAGCGCAGTTACCGCCACCACTTCCTCGAAAAACGCATTGGTAATTCATCAAAAATCGCCGACATACGGCCATGTGAGTAAATACGAAAGTTACTTCAACATGGCCCCGCCCACGACTAGCGTTGCCCATCATCCTCCTCATCAGCAGCATCCGCATATGACGCCGCAGGAGAAATATGTGCTTTACTTACAACAGCGCATGAAACACCAAAAACATCAGCAACATCAGCATCTGCAGCAGCAGCAGCATTACGACTTTTCACATCCGGTGGTGCCGGCGCAAAGCAATACACTGGCCGGCAGCCACCATCCACAACAACACACCCATCTGCATCCCCATCATCCCCAGACCAAGACCCATCACCCAAACAAGTACGACGACCTGTACGTAAGACCGGATGCGACTGCTGGCCAACAGGTGCTGCACATCCCGCTGCGCGCCCTCATGGCCCACGTCCAAGAGCAGTCGCACTCCCAGTCGCAATTGCAATCGGAGTCGCAGGCACAGCCGCCGCGGCTCGAGTTTGCCAAGGATGAGCCGCTTGGGTAAGTCATCCACTTGGGAGGAGATTAAAAGTTACTATGTGGAAGAATAAGTCTTTATATATATAAGAATAAGTCTTATATATTGGCCCATAAATGTGAGGATTCTAGCAAACATAAGGTCATAGTTGGTTATAAATAACTCAACAATTTAGCATTTCAACACACTTGTACTCGCTGAGAAGTGAACCTCGGACTTTCTGGGATTTGCAAATTTCTAAGACAAATTTCTTATACTTCTTGTAACAAGATGCCACAATGACTCTGTTTATAATCAAGATACGGACTAATGTCATTTCTACCATAAACATAAAGCTAACGAGGACGGAAGCTAACTTCGGCAAGCCGAAGTTTTAATACCCTTGCAGATTTTACGAATTAAAACTTGACTAGACTAGCAACATGAATTAATAAACAACAAAATATTTTATAATTGAAAAAATAAAATTTTAAAATTTTTCACCCTATTGTTCCTATGGGAGCTATAGGATATAGACGCCCGATCGGCACGCGCGTTTACCCTAATGAAGGTACGCACAAAAAAATACGATTTGGAAAGTTTCATGGGAATAGCTAATATTTTGCGCGAAATATCCTGAAAAACGTCAAATTTTGACCGATTTCACACTATTGTTCCTATGGGAGCTATAAGATATAGACGTCCGATCGGCACGCGCTTTTACCCTGATCAAGGTACGCACAAAAAAATACGATTTAGAAAGATTCATGCCAATAGCTCTTACACTGAGCGAAATATCTTCATTTTTGTGAAAGCTATATCCGATTGTTCCTATGGGAGCTATAGGATATAGATGTCCGATCGGGTCGGCTTTCAAACTTGATCTGCGTACACATGTTTTAGGACGACTGTGAAAGTTTCAAGGCGCTAGCTTTTAAACTGAGCTCGCAAACGGTATTGAAACAGACATACAGACGGACAGACGGACAGACGGACAGACGGACAGACGGACATGGCTATATCGACTCCCCTATTGATCCTGATCAAGAATATATATACTTTATGGGGTCGGAAACGTCTCCTTCACTGCGTTACAAACTTCTGACCAAAATTATAATACCCTCTGCAAGGGTATAAAAAGTTCTTAAATTTTAAAATAAAGTGTTAATTGTTATGACGTTGAAAATTTAACTATTTTTATTGAAATTTTAAGGATTGAAGATTGAAATATTTTTATTTTAATTTTAAGGAGTATTTCTCTTTGATTTTAAAGACTATAAGGTTTTGCATTATTATTTTAACAGTCCTTAAAATATTTTTCTAAGATTTTTAATTGGTTCATTTTTAGAAAATATAACGAAATAGCTTATCTCTCGAAATATAAATTATTTCAAAAACTAACATACAATTTTTTACAAAGTAGAACAAGATTTTAAAATAATTAGAAGAGGAAATGTCAGTCTTATTTCCTCATTGAAAAATCATAATTCGCATTGAAATACATCTGTTGTCATTGAAAGCCCTTGACCGCTGTAACCATTGTCTGACAGTCATAAAGTGCCTCAAAAGAGCTTCCCTATAATCGAATCATTTTTTCGTTAGTTCCCCAGCACCGCCGAAGTTTATTGAATATCTAATAGATGGGCCAAGGCAATCTCTGGACGAGGAGCAGCAGCATTCGCAGCATGAACGTCCCTCGGCCCATCAGCCACCGCAGCATGCTTACATCCTGGTGACCACAACAGCTCCACATATAGAGCATCAGCCGGCGCCACAAATGCATCCGGAAATTTCCACTCCACGACCACCGATTCTCTATAACCAACAGCCCACGCTTCGCTTGCAGCCAGTGCATAATTACAAGGCCACCAGGCGTCCCATTTACGTGACCACGCCCTCGCCAACGGTAGAGATTACGCCGAAATATGTTTACGTATCCGGCAAACCTCCGAGTGGCCAGAAGCCAGAGTTACCACATAGGGAACCCTCCACGGTAACGCCCATTAAGCTAAAACCCGTCTATCAATACGCCCACGAGCGACCGCCATTAACGCCAGTCCTTAGGCCAGAGGATGATGATCAGCTACCCGATATACGCACCTCATCGCTGGCCGAAATTCTTCATAAGCTTCAGGCCAGCAATCATCTGCCACAAACCTTAACACCTGACAATATCGACAACTCCATCAAAACATTGATTCGAATACTGCAAAACCTAAAGCAAACCCAAACCATTGTGGCCAATCCTCCGCAGCATCACGAGGAGCACAAGCCCAGTTCGCAGGACTACGATTACAATACGGGCAGCGAGGAGGAGCATCATTCCCAGTCAGAGGAGGCCAAACCCAAGGGTCCAAGTGGGTAGCTTTTAATTAAATAAAATGGCTTATTTAATTTTTTTAATTTTCAATAGATAAACATCCAGGACCAAGCACAGGAAGAGCTGGCATTGATTATCCCAACTATGCGGAGATCCCTCAAACAAGCTTTGAGTGCACCAAGCAACGATACAAGGGATTCTTCGGCGATCCAGAGACCAATTGCCAAGTATGGCACTATTGCGATCTCAATGGAGGAAAGGCTTCATTTCTCTGTCCCAATGGAACAATATTCAGTCAGGTAAAATAGAGATGATATGATTTGAACCAAGGTTTGGAAAATAACACACACTGTGAAAAACTTGTGTTATTAATTATTATTGGTTTCTCATTTGCCGTTCATGACAGTGAAATGTAATTTTCATTTGTGTTAAAAACACAGTGTGTAAAATACACGTCGTGTTAATAACACATTGGGTAAAAAACACAAGTGAGCTGTGTGTGCTAGCAATTATTTTTCACATTTTAACACTTTTGTATTTGACACACATGTCAACTATTTTGCTCACACTGTAAAATAAAATTGTTTATGTATATTTAACATGTGTGTCAATTTCCGAACCCTGATTTAAACAGCTCTATAAATGATATATTTTACAGATTGCTTTGACCTGCGACTGGTGGTTCAATGTCAAGTGTTCGACAACAGCACAGCTTTATGTGCTCAACGAGCGACTCTACAAGTACATCCTGCCCTTCAATCCCAAGTTCCCCGAGGACTATAATGGGCCCATTGTCGATAAGTAAGAAAATACAAAATCTCAAGCAGTTCTCGTTATTAAACATGCAATCTATTAAAGATACCTAGCCATGAAGTTCCAGGAAATGGAGGAAAAGATGCGTCAGGAGAAGCAACGCAAAGCGACTCAGCAGGCTGAAAAGCCTGCTGAAGCTCCATCCACACCTGCGATGCCCAAAAATCATAAACCTGAACCCAAACATGGTAGCGGAATTAATGCCCAGGTCTATGAGCAAAGCTCGGAGAGAAATCTGCTAATCGATGATGAAATAGATGATATATCGGAGCGTGGAACTTATGATACGTACGATCAAACAGCGCCCACAACTATAATGGCACCCACCAGCACCCAGGACACACAATCCTATGTCCTAAAGCCCATTGTAGTGTCATCCACTCCACAACCGAATCAAGAGATTGATTTCGAAGCTGAACCAACGGCTCCCGGAAGCAGCGAAGAGGAGGATAAACTACAAAGTTTGAGAGAAACAAAGGAAGCGGAGAAAAAAAGTCGGGAAACCACAAGAGTTAGCGTAGAAAAGCTGGAAGTAATCGAGATCAAAACCGATGGAAACACCGGACAACTGATGCCCATAAAGGATAGTAGCAAATGAGCATTCTGATGACAAAAATTATATAGCTTGCCATATTTGTAATGAGAAATTCGCCTGCGAGTTGGTTGTATAATCCCTAAATTATTCTTAGCGAGCAAGTACTGTAAATAGCTAGCTGTAAATGCAACTGTATACATACCTATAGCTATAGTGAAATAAAATCTGACTAGTAAGTAAAAAATATCTTAGCACTTACCTCCTGTCCATTTTGTATGTTGAGCAGAGCGGAGTTCAATGAATTCAAACACGTCGGAATCTCAGAGGCAAAACGTTGATTCTATGGGGAAAGGCCAATTAGTTTAGATGGGATAAAGCAATGTGATTTAGTCGGTATAACCGACCTCATTAGTCTAAATATTTCAGGTATCACTATGGACGGCAGTCCATGTAGTGACGAAGCGCACCAGGAGAGTGTGCGAAGGCGACTACTATATATACACGAAGAAATGAAAATCTACTGTGATGGTCCGATCATAATGAATAATACACCTATCGAAAGGTATTCCGAAAACTAACAGGATTGCATACCAAGACTTTAAGAAAATCAATTGGCTTGGGAGAGAGAGCGGTGAAAGTGAAAAAGTGAAAATTTCGAAATTTGGAGCTGTTGGGGCCGGTGGGGATAAATGCCCCCTCGCAATGTTTTAGTTGTATTCCTTTTGAAAATACCCGTCGAATGAGGGGTCATTTGTCAAAATCCGACTCTCCGTTCAAAAGTTATAGCCAAAATAAGATTTTCTTCTTCTTCCCAAAATGAAAATTTAATTCTGTTTGTCCACTTGTCCACTTGTCCACTTGTCCAAAATATGTTTTTTAAGTTCTGAAAATTTGATATGACGTTCATCACATCGATATAAAAAACTTTTGTTCTACCACTTTTGGAAAAACCCGCTAGTTTAGCGGGAAAACAGCTATAAGTAGCTAAAATTCGGAAGGCCGTAACTTCTATACTACTAAAGCTACAGGCTTGTGCTGCATCTCGTTTGAAAGGTATTTTTAAATGCTATAAACGCCTTCTATATGCAATTTGTGTAAATGTAATACTTAAAAAAATATGAACAAAAGACAATTTTTTAAAACTTTTTTTTTTAGCTTTTTTTTATTTTTCTCAAAAACGGCTCTAACGATTTTCTTTAAAACCTTAAACTGTATAGCCCTTGAGATTCCTTAAATTTTGGTATATAACACATTACTGTAAAAAGTCACGTTTAAAAGTTATTTTTATTCGAAAATAGCCACTTTTGCCAGCTCGAACAATTAACGCTCCCTGAGTATTGAATTTTGTGGGAGGGTATCCGAACTGTATTTTAGGGTCATGGAATCAGTAAATTTGCACTTAAGAGTTCCATATAGGAATCTTTTGTTCTACGACTTTTGGAAAAAGCCGCTACTTTAGCGGGAAAAAGCTAAAAATAGCTAAATTTCGTTAGTTTGGAAGTTCTACACTACTAAAGGTACAGACATGTACTATACCTCGTTTAAAAGGTATTTTGAAATACTTCAACGCCTTTTTAACTTAATTTGTTAAAATACAATAGTTTAAAAATTATGATTGACCAATTTAAATTTAAATGTATATATTAGCTCCTATGAGAGCAAATGTATACAAACAAAAACTTCTGATATCAAATAAAAACACCTCTTAACGAGGTAAAAAACTAGTGACGACCGCACCTTCAACATACAAAAGTTCTGATATCAACATTTGTGACGAAAAATTATTACACTCGTCATTAAATAGACTTTCTAATCTTTTCTAATTCGTCACGCTGCAATAGAAAATGCCTGTAAAGGGAAAAAGGCTGGAATAGTTTGCTAGGGCGGGCCGAATGAGAAAAGATTAGAAAGTCTATTTAATGACGAGTGTAATAATTTTTCGTCACAAATGTTGATATCAGAACTTTTGTATGTTGAAGGTGCGGTCGTCACTAGTTTTTTACCTCGTTAAGAGGTGTTTTTATTTGATTTGATTTAATGCATGAATATGATACAGTGTTAATAAACGGTTTATGTCGATTTCTTTTATTATTGTTTAAAATACTTTAAAGACAAATTTAGGATCAATAACAGTATCTTAGTAAACATCTTACTTTACTACACTTAAAAAAAAAAAAATTTTGAAAATCGCCTACGGATTTGCTTTACTGGCGATTTATATTTCTATATTTCTGGAACATTTCTTAAATTTAATAAATTTTGATTATTTGAAGAAAATTTTCTTTAAATTAAATTCAGGGCGATTCATTTTTTGAGTGTAAGATTCTGTAATTAAATTAGTTCTTGTTTAATAACAGAATACAAACTGAAATGGTCTTTAGACTAACACCTGCAATTTTATATCAAGGTAGAGAATAAGGTTTTATCAAGATTTTAATAGCTTAAATTTATATATTTTGATTAATGATTTTACTGACCTTCTGCAAGAGCGGCTGAGTGCGGTGATCCAGGTGAAAACTGGAGATGCAAGCGGGGCAGAAAGTCCGCTTACAGTTCTGGCAGTAGACGTTCCTTAGCATACGGTGCGTAAAGCAATCATTTTTACAAGGCAGTGTGAAGAATTGTTTGCCCACTCGTAATCCCTTTGTGGATGGAGTCTCCTGGGATTTTTGGAAGAGGTGCGACTTTAGGACGCGACTGTGGTTGTGAACCGCCTCGAAACAACGGCGACAATAGAAGGCGTTGCACTGTTTGCACTCCCCGTTGGCAATTGCAGTTCCACATTCGCTGCACTTTGAGGACAAGACAACATTTTCGCTGATCAAGCTAAGGCTCAGCGATTTATTTGCTGTTTCCGTGGCGAATCGTCGGAAATAACTGAGGCTGCTGGTTTCCCCCAGCACATGATAGTTCAGTTCGTAGTAGTCGCGCACATTGGCGGCGGATTTGCTGGCCGGATCCTTGACCTTGATCGTTGGAGAAGCTGGACTCTGGCACACGGCGCACTTCAGATCCTGGCGATTGCCCCACACGCAGCTCTCGCAGAGATTGTGGCCACATGGCAGCAGAAAGGGACGGTATCTCTCTGATGAATAAGAAAATATATAATTCCTTAATTGTGATGATATCACATCATTTTAGATTCTAAAATTTAGAATGAAAAATAACACAATTTTAAGTTCTATAAAAATTGGTTGAGCTCGTGAAACACGAGTAATTTTTTTTTTATTAAAAATATTAATAAAGTTGTCCAGTCAATTTTTGATAGCATTCAATGTATGTACAATTTACATACATATATACCCATGAATGTAAAATAAGTTCTGTTGTTTAGAAGAACACACCAAAGAGAACTTAAAAATTCATGGAGTAATATGAAACCCCGTTATAGGGGAATAGAGATGACAAGACAATCAGCATTTTTTGTTATACATATAAAAACAATAAAATTATGAAAAACTCACCTTAAATGGTACTACGTAAAAAGTGTTAAAAAAAAATAAACTTTTTTTTTATTATAGTCTTTTATTTTTTAAAAATTTAAATATACTTTTCTCACTTTTTAAAAAAATATTATTTATGACAAATATATTTGTTTAAGATATTTATGCCATAACAAGATGCTATTCAGGAAAATAAGTTTTATTTCTGAGGTTTTGGATTTGGATTTTTCTTGTTCACTTTTTAGATTTCAATCTGGCAACATTGTTTACAGTAGGGACGCCTCATTCACAAACACACGCTACATACATACATATACAAAACGAAAAGCGCCCAAGGAGTCTCAAATGTTCCTGAATTAGAAAAGCGATTGAAACTCCCTGAATTCCTCGAATTATACTTGAAACATTTTACTCACCTTGTCCTTCACTTTTATTGTATGAGTAGGTATAACATTTTGTACATTTGGGGCAGCGCAGAATATTCTGCAGGTTGGACGCCACAAATTTGCGATCAAAATGCTTTACACCGCTGTCGTCGGCAATCATTTTGATTAATCACTATATTTAATAAACTATATTTCTTTATTCTTTCTCCGTTTGGTTAAGGGATAATTGGGAAAAACGAATCTTTCCACCGCGAAACTTTGCAACAAGCAAGCCGGCGAACGAGAAGAGAAAGAGGAGAAAGAGAAACATCGATATAACCATGGAGGGATCAATGTTTCTAAAACTTTAAAAATTATCGATGTAAAATGCCGCCTATCGAAGTTGGTTGGTGCTGCCAACTAGCAATTATTTTGAGCTCGCATTTTAAAATAGTTACCGTTCCGAAAAGCCATTTTTTTAACGATCATTTTAATGAAATACTTAGTTTTTGCTAATAAAATCATAAATTACGCCCTCACCCATAATAAATGTTTTTCCCAAATACTCCTTTTATTTCATCACAAACTAAAGATTTTACCCAAAACCGTTTTACAACAATGGTTTTTATAAATGCTTCAAACAAATCCTCGATTTATCCGAACATGGAATCCATAATGGTGTTTTCGCGTTCCCTTCGGTTATGCTCATCCTGTTTAAACCTCCGAAGCTCCTCGTACACAGGATCATCGGTTTCCAATTCATAACGGCACAGGGGACAAGAATTGGTCTGTAAATTAGAATGTACAATATTGGCGATAAATATTAAAATAAAAATCGAAATATTTGTTAAATGTTTATGATGCTTGGGATAAATATTAAAATAAAAATGGAAATATTTGATCAATGTTTATGATGCTCTTTATGCTTTAGTTACCTTCTTCAGCCAGAGCAGGATGCACTCCTCGTGGAACTCGTGCTTACAGGGAAGGATCTTGTACTTCTCTCCCTCTTGAGCAGGCTCCTTGCAAACAGAGCACTCCAAATCGCCGCCCACTTCCGACTCGAGAATTTCGTGGATCGGTAGCTCGGCAATCGCCCGCTTGGAGGCCTCCGGCACCTCGATCTCCATGTCGATGCCATTCATTATAGCCAACACCTGGAGACGTCGAAAGTTTCTGGCCAAATCATTGGCTCCCTCCGGTCCAGTGGGTTCATGACCCAGTTCCTCGAAGTAGTCCGACATGGCTGCAATAGTCGTAGCAGAGAATCGTAGTTGATAGCTTGATAGTAAAGGCCCCACATCCTAGATATCTTTAACTTCCTAACGACCAAAAAGCTGTCCCGCAAAATATTTTCTAAAAACTGAACTTTAAAATATGTTATAAATAAATAAATATATATTTCAAATTCTTCCATTCATCATAATATTTTTATGTGCCTAGATATATTTTACTTTATTTTGTAGATTATGAAATTAAATAAAACGTTTTTATATAGGGGAATGTAGGGTAAGGTGACGAACGATTCGTTTTTTTAATGTAACTTTTCTAAAAATCAATATTTTTCAAAAGTGTAAACGCAGAAAGTTGCTTACATTTACTGAGCATATCCCTGTAAAATTCAAAATTCGAAATTTCAATGCAGCTAAATCCCACAGCGTTTGGCGTGAACCCTTCTTTTTTTGCACTTTCAAAAGTTGTAGGGTAATGTGACGAACGATTTGTTCTTTAATGTAACTTCTCCAAAAATCAATATTTTTTAAAAGTGTAAAAGCAGAAAGTTACTTACATTTACTGAGCATATTTCTAAAAAAATTTGGATTCGAAATTTCAACGTAGCCAAATCCCACAGCGTTTGGTGTAAACCATCCTTTTTACAAACAAAAAAATACATTTTTTTATATATTATTTACGGAAAGGTTATTTTCGATACGGAAAAGAAAATAGTAATAAGATAATACCCAAACTTACAAAAAAAAAAAAGGTCAAAGTGCAAATTTTTTTTTTAATTAAATTAAACTGACGTCACTATTAAAAACAACAATAAAACTGCAGCAGTAAATGTTATCTGGTATTATTATATTTTTTTACAAATAACACAGGTCAACAAAATGAACTTTATTAAAAGGTGCAGGCCTATGGGCATTAAAATATGTTAATATAGACGTATATAAGAATATCTGCATACTTCGTTTTCGCGTTTAACGGGTGGTATTTGTGCAATCGCGGTTTGAAAAAAATAGCAACATTTAATGTTTTGATTTAAGATATCTTCGACGGTCTTTGCCCAACTGTATTAAAACCTATGCCAAAAAATGGCTTAGATGACCATCTACATAATTGCATTTAAGGTTCCATCATAATTTGAGTCAATCAAAGCCTATGAGCCATTGAAGTAATTTGTTCACCTCTATTCCCAACCAACTTAATGCGGTGAACAGTCTTAAAAAAATACAAGGAAAAATATGTGCCGTAAAATATTTGACAGGCATCTAGAGACGACTTTTCCCGAATTTTTGAGATAAAACCCACTATTGTACTTCGAAGGATGGAATTTATAGAATTTTTTCCGTAAGAACGGGAAAAGTAACAAGAATTTTGAAATTCCATTTTACATAAATATCTGACACATTCGTAGAAATTTGCCTTTCAATTTGTTTAGCAGTAGGCGCCGAACATCGAAAATTTGTATTTTCAAGGGGTTAGTATGCCTGTTAAATATCTCCCCCCACAATTTTAAGGCTACGCCACTGTTATCTTTAAAAAGCCTACTGTGTGAAGTCACGACCAACTCGTTACGTAATAGTTACTCAAAAATACTTGTTACTTTTTACGTTCCTATGAAAAAAATTCTATAAATTCCATCCTTCGACGTATAATGGTCTTATTTATCTTAAAAATTCGGTGAAAGACGCCTCTAGATGCCTGTCAAATATTTTAGGGCACATATGTTTCCTTGTATTTTTTTAAGCCTGTTCACCGCATCAAGTTGGTTGGGAATAGAGGTGAACAAATTACTTCAATGGCTCATAGGCTTTGATTGACTCAAATTATGATGGAACCTTAAATGCAATTATTTAGAAGGGCATCTAAGCAATTTTTTGGCATAGGTTTTATTACAACTAAGCACAGACCCTCGAGGATATCTTAAATCAAAACAATTAATGTTGCTATTTTTTTCGAACCGCGATTGCACAAATACCACCCGTTAAACGCGAAAACTAAGTATGCAGATATTCTTATATACGTCTATATTAACACAATTTAATGCCCATAGGGCTGCACCAAAAACACTGTCGGCCTGTGTAATCAACGATAACAGTTAAAATTCTTGAATAAAAAAAGTTCGTCACAATACCCTACAAAAAGTTCGTCACGATACCCTACAAGGTAGACTTCGAGCAAAAACGGTGTCACTATCAAACGGCGCAAAAGAAAAAAACGCGAGGTACCAAAAACTGTTGATAAAGATCTCATGTATACGTGCATATATTTGCCTGATTTTATTTTCCACTCATCTTTGCTCTGGCACTGCTGAAACACAAGTAAATTGAATGGGTTTGCTAGTTTGCGCAACACATTTTTAGCGAAAATTACCTCACGAACAAATTACGGGACTTCTTATTAATATTACTGTAAATACATTGTCGACACGATAAGGGGAGACGACTACATTTATTTGGAATTTTTGTCGTGACGTCATATATGAGATTCGACGAGTTCGTCACATTACCCTACTCGTCAAATTACCCTACACTCCCCTACTAAAATTCTCTGCAAAATGTCAATAGATCTTAAAAACACACGCATTAGTGGGAGCCAAATGTAATTTTTATTTCAAGTTCTAGTTTATCGTATACAATTGATAACAGTCAATCTGGGCTAAAACTCCATTCAATTAACTTTATTACACAAACTTTATGGCTATGTTTCTAAGAGGTCTTTGCATTTAAAACGCTTGCAAGTAATGTGTTTTTTTTTCCTAAGCCTAAATTTATTTTTTAGTGGCTGGTAGCCCTGCAATGCATTTTAAAAAGTCAAAAGTTACAGGCAAACACTGGCTTCTTTTTTACGTGAGCTTAGGCGAAGGGTTCGACCAGTCGATGGTTTACTGTAGGTACTAATAAGGAACAGCTAAACCTTTCTTCTGAAGAATGCTGTATAGCTTTGAAGCTGCAAGGAATTTTCTTCGTTTTTTTAACTTCATAAAGATGATAAAAGGAAGCAAGAAGTTGTTTATTTTTTTTCTCAGAGCTGGCGAATGAATAATTGTGTTTTTTTATAAACAGCGAACGAGTTTAAAATATAATAGATAAAATAATAAGTTCTAAACTTTTTAGACACTTTACAAATTTAATCGGGAATGTGAAAATTAGGCTATTCATTTATATTTCCCCCCAACTCCAATTTTAAGTAGAATGTCCAATTCCAACATAAGAAATGGCCAATAAAAACACAAAATGAAATTATTTTTTCGTTTCTTATTTTTTTTTGTGATTTTCTTTCTTTAACTATATGATGTTTTATAATATTCATTGTTTTAAAGTAATTGATTTACGATTTACTTCAAGGTAGTTACAGAGCTTGAATTATAATTTCTACTCTCCTGTTCTCTCTCAGTATCTTCCTCTGGCCTCACTTAAAGATTACATCCTCTGCGTTTTTATCAAAAACTCATACAGTAGGTATACAGAGTACAGTGCTAAATTATAAAAAGGTAAAATATAAAATAATAAGAGTAAAACAAAAACAAGACTTAGGCGCTAGGCTTTAAAAATTATTAGTTTAGATTGCTAGAGAATAAATTAGAGGCGCCTGGCGGGGGAGCGATCGGTAAATGATATATAAAGGCAGGACTACATCAGGATCTACTGATTTCAGTGGTGTAATTAATAACAAGAGCTATATATATAGATAGGTATATATGTGTGTGGTGTATGTACAGAGCTACTTAAGGACGAACGAAACGAAAACGAATAAGTACACGATTCTTCAATTACTTTAGCTACTTTAGCGGGGCGAGGAAAAAAGTGGACGATAGCGGGGGTCGGGGGGCGGGGCACATGGATTAATTACAATGCGCGTAGGATTTATATAGTAGGTAGGGCACATATAAAACTTAAGGGCAGGCCGATTTTCTGGTTGGAAAAATAGAAAAATAATAAATATCTGAAGGCAATTTTAAAGATATGGTTGTAATAATTTATAAGTGTATCGAGCACCTATATTTCTGCCGACTGGCTTTAGTAAACGAAGAACTTGTATTTAAAAATGTCTGAAATATTCCTCAACCAAAATCGACCCTTCCTATTAAACGTATATATGTTTTATAGATACTTTCTCTATATAGTAAACGATCAGCTCGCGTTAAGATCTATCACTAGCATACACAGTTAGTTCTAGTCTAGTGCTAAAAGCAGCAAACGGCAACGGCTCTCCAGTTGGGGAATCCAGATCCCGAATCCCGAACCTCCTGGCCTTACGTATCATCAGACTGGCTTGTTTTCTTTTTCTTTTTATCAGGGATGTTTGGGATGCTCTTGTGATGGGTAGGGTTGACTGTGATCGAATCACTAGTCCGTGATGGAGATCTGCGCATAGCCAACGAGCGATCGTTCGTCGGGCACCTCGCCCGGCTGCACGCCGGAGCTCAATTGGAAAGTAATCGTTTTCATCGTGGCACTGGCCGCTATCAGTTGGTCCAGATGCTGGGCCATCGGCTGAGTGTCCAGGGCATCGACGAGACCGGCGTCCACTAGTTCCGTGGCGATGCCCTCGGCCGTGTCCTTGCCCACCACGAACTCGAAGCGAATGTCGTGGAGTTCGCGGCGTAGATTCCGCATGCGCAGGACAAGATTGACTGGTGGCGCCTCGCCGGCGGAGTCGCTGGCTATTTGTAGCTGAGCCAGGCCAGCTGTAAGCTCTTGGGCAGCTGGAGCTGGAGCTCCTGGTGTCACTGTTGCCGAGGAAACACTATGCGTTATTTCGGGCGACGGTTCCTCCCGGTCGCTGTCCGAGGAGTCGGCTCTTTCCAGCCTATTTATAGGTCTATCTTCGGAATCCGAATCGGAGGAGGGATGTTTTCGGCCACCTCCAGATCCCGAGCCGGATGCAGAGCCACCGTTGTCCTCCTCCTCGCTGGACCACACCCACTCGCCCGTCACCGTGCGATGCAAACGACCCGAGGCTCCCGGCTGTCGTTTCGCCGCCTTGTGCACCCTCGTCTCCATACTGGGTCCCGATTGCAGCAGCGTCTGGGTGAGATACTTGCGATCCTTGGCCTTCTTGAAGAACGCATGCTTCAGCAGCTCACTGGCCGTGGGCCTTTTCGATGGCTCCTTTTGCAGACACTCGACGATCATCTTGCGGAATGTCTTGCCGTAGGCCTTGTACTGATCCTTATCATCGGCACCCGTGTCCAAAGTGGGCGGATCATTCTGTAGGGTCAGCATTAGCACCTTCATGGGCGGGTATTTGTGATAGGGTGCCGTTCCGGTGGCCATTTCAATGGCCGTTATGCCAAACGACCAGATGTCCGCCTTGAAGTCGTAGCCATGATCCTGCTCCATCACCTCGGGCGCCATCCAACAGGGTGTGCCCACAAAGGTGTGGCGCACCTTCTGCCTGGACAAATCCCTGCCGGTGGCCAGCCAAGCGCTCACGCCAAAGTCGGCAATTTGAATGGTGCCATCATCGCCGATTAGGATATTTCCCGCCTTGATATCGCGGTGAATCTGGCCGTTGGAATGGAAGTACTCCAATCCTTTAAGCACCTCCTTGAGCACCGTGGCTATGGTGGCCTCGTCGAAGACGCCCTGCTTGCAATTGGACGTTCGCATCTTGTGCTTGATAATGTCCAGCAGGGAGCCACCCTCCAGGAGTCGGAGGACCAGCCAGAGCTCTTCCCTGACCACAAACGAGGTGTGATAGGTGACGACGTTCTCGTGGAAGCAGGAGGACATGGCCTGAATCTCCTTGAGCAGCTCATCCATCGACGTGTTCCACTTTTCCAGGTTGATGCGCTTGATGGCGCACTTCTCGTTCCTGGGAATACAGTACGCGCCATGAACGACGGCTGTGGCGCCCACACCGATGACATCCCTCAGCTCGTAATCGTCCTTGGAGTTGGGCCACGGCTGTTTCTCGGGCGGCACGGCAGCGCCACCTGGCAGGGTTGCTGCTCCAGCCACATTATTGCTAGACAGATTGGCGGGTATGGAGGTCATGCTCCTGCTGCTTCCGGTTCCGTTTCCAGCGGCTTTTGTGTGTGGAGGCGGGGTTCCTGGACGTTGTCGTCGGTTGTTTATGGCCGGCTGACTTTGCGATCTCGGTGTGGTTCGCGAACGCGGTTGCTTCGATATTGGTGGGGTTTTTTGGGGCTCCTCCTTTTTTATCGGATGAAACTCCTCGTCCTGCTGGCGGTAAACGGATGGATGCTCGCTCTCGATTTCCCTCTGTTGTTCCTGCTCCTTTTCCTGTACTTTATAGCTGCCCGAACTGGAACTCTCTCTGAGTTCTGCCGATTGTTTCTTTTTTGGATTATGCTGCTGCTGCTCGTCCTTCTTGGCAAAGCAACCAAAGATTCCTGTATCCTTCGGATCTCTTTCGTGGGATTCTTTGCTTTGGTTGTTGTTGTTGGCGATGTGTGCCACCTCTGCAAGTGGAGAAAAAATCAGAACGGGGTAAAGTAGGGGCCTTGCCTTGGTTTATCTTTAAAAATGCAACAGAACTACGTGGGTGATGATCAACGAGCTGCCCAAGGTGGAATCAGGGATTTTCAGGGGATATATAGTTGTGAGAATCAGGGAGAAAACTAGGAAACCAGGATCCAAATGCAAGGTGTGGAAGGATTTAAAAATTTATCATAAAGGCCTTGGGTTACGGTGGATGCAAATTTGAACGAGGACGGAAGCTAACTTCGGCAAGCCGAAGTTTTAATACCCTTGCAGATTTTACGAATTAAAACATGACTAGACTAGCAACATGCATTTATAAACAACAAAATATTTTATAATTGAAAAAATAAAATTTTAAAATTTTTCACCCTATTGTTCCTATGGGAGCTATAGGATATAGACGCCCGATCGGCACGCGCGTTTACCCTAATGAAGGTACGCACAAAAAAATACGATTTGGAAAGTTTCATGGGAATAGCTAATATTTTGCGCGAAATATCCTGAAAAACGTCAAACTTTGACCGATTTCACCCTATTGTTCCTATGGGAGCTATAAGATATAGACGTCCGATCGGCACGCGCTTTTACCCTGATCAAGGTACGCACAAAAAAATACGATTTGGAAAGATTCATGCCAATAGCTCTTACACTGAGCGAAATATCTTTATTTTTGTGAAAGCTATATCCGATTGTTCCTATGGGAGCTATAGGATATAGACGTCCGATCGGGTCGGCTTTCAAACTTGATCTGCGTACACATGTTTTAGGACGACTGTGAAAGTTTCAAGGCGCTAGCTTTTAAACTGAGCTCGCAAACGGTATTGAAACAGACGGACAGACGGACATGGCTATATCGACTCCCCTATTGATCCTGATCAAGAATATATATACTTTATGGGGTCGGAAACGTCTCCTTCACTGCGTTACAAACTTCTGACCAAAATTATAATACCCTCTGCAAGGGTATAAAAAGTCGATAATCCTTCGAGAGAAATTAGTTAGTAGTAACATAAATTTGGATTATAAGACAAAATACATAAAGTTCATTCTATCCCCATGTGAAACTTTTAAACCTTAATTTTTTTTATAATTTAAATTTATTTCAAAGAAACCTATTAAAAATAAAAGTTTTTCTATAATGGTAACCTACTCTGAGAATTTGTTCTCAGAACGTATAAATATTCCAAGTGCTGTTGAAAATCATCGCTTTTTCCTGATAAAACTGGGTCATATCTACAAAGAATAATTTAAAAAAATAACAATAAGCCCAAAAACATATTGCTTTTATTGTTGTCGGGGGAATTACCCCGGCACGTTTTGGCAAAAAAAAAACAAAACAACTGTTTAACGCTCGACACATGCCGTACTGGGAATTTTATTGTACCGCTCCACCACCCCGTCGCTTTATGCTAAATTTTTCCACGTTTTTGCTGATAAGATTTAGCTTTATTAACATGATGTGGAGTGTTCACTTTTTTTCAGGCCACCACTGTCTAGCGATCGTTCAACTTTGGACGCCCTCGACTGTATAAGTGAGATCGGCTCTCTCTTAAATTTGCCCGCTCTCTTTTCTCCATGCAGCATAAAAAAGTTCAATCGCATGAAATGGAATGAATGAAAGAGGGAGAGGAAGAGAGAGGAGTGTGCGAGCGGGACCAATGACCGCATTGAGCTATTTATAGCAACAATAAAAAAACGAAAATAACTGAGCTACAACAAAGATAATGTGTGTGGTAATTGTAATTAAGTTTTCAGCTAAAATGTTTACAATTCCTGGCTCTCTCTCTTTTTTGATTACATCTAAAAACACGATAAGCTAGCGGTTAAAAACGGTAAAGAATAACCGCAACTCGATAACTGTGACGGCAGCGATAAAGAAAACGCGATTCCAGTTATCGGACGTGTCATGTGCCACTTAATTAAACCGACTAACTTTTTGGGCCAACAAAATATCAGGCGAATTTCGCAATTTAACACTTAGACCAAGTCAAATAAAGAATAACGCGCCAGGAAAACAAAAACTAAATGTTTACACAACAAACAAAATGCGAAGCGAGAGGGAGACAGGAAACGGCCTCTAAAAAAACACTTGGCAACCGAAAAATAAGAAAGCTAATTTAGAAAAAAAACCTTTTTTAAAATGTACAAATGCAAAACATTTTAAAAAATAAAACAAGAATATTAACCGTATATTAAATATTATATTAGTTAAACCAGGAAAAAACCTAAAAACGATGACAAATCTGAATTTAACTAGAAAATGTGATCAAATGATTTTATTTTTGCAGACAAATTTCATAATAAATCAATATCAAGAGCGGAATAGAGAGAAAGAGAGAGAGAGCGGAGCGCGGGAGAGACAAACGATCATGTGCAACTGATAAGCATTGTCACACGACTTCACAAACGCACACACACACACTCGGTAGTTCAATAAATTTTCATTTGAGCTTTATTGATTTCTCGCTGGAGAAATCAAAACAAATTTACGCAAAATGCAGAAGAATTATTTACACGATTTATGTTGCTGCTCCTGCTTCTTTTTCTGCTCCACGCACGCGCGCCTGTGTTGTTTTTGCTTTTTTCCCCAGACTCGCTATATTCCGTTCCCTTTCCGTTTCGTTCCGTCGCGATCTCTGCGAAGCGATCGCTTGAAAAGCCGCGCAACAAATGAGCGCACAAAAGCAGAACAACAAACGCAATGGCAAAGCCAACACCGAAAGCAGCGCCGTCGACGCCGACGTCGTAACAAGTGCGCCGACGGCTGATGGCAAAAACAACAAAAATAGGAGAAAACCGAAGAGAGGGTCGAGTTATCCGCCTTTGAGATACCCTACACACCACTCAATGTCTTGTGAAAACACTTACTACCTTCGCTCCACCGCAAAATTCTAAAATCGTTATTTAATATAAGGAAAGTTTTCAAATATTATTTATAATTATCCCAATTCCTCGTCAGATTCAAGGGTTATTATTATTTATCACGAGCACAGGGTATTAAAAGCGTAATGAAAACCGAAACTAGAAAAATACAAAAATAAATGTATTGAGCAAATATCAACAGCGTGAAAGAGGGAAGTGGGGTGGTGGTGTTGGTGAGGCGCCGGTCTGCTGTTGCACGAAGAAGAGAATGAGGAAAGAGCGCCGGAGAGAGGGGGTTAAGCTGTCGCACAGTGGGTGGCATAGGTCTAAATACCCCTTCATTATTATATTGAAAGAACAAAAATATTATTAAGCATCAACATTTTAAAATTATTTTAAATATACAAAAAATTAAGATACTAAATAATTATTAAATAAATAAACATTTTACTAACAAAATAGACAATTCCGTTCCATTGCATATTTTACCATTTGTAAGGTTTTCCTCTTGTTTGCCCCCACCTATTTTCCCTCCGCCTTGTGTACTCGGATTTTATCAGCTCTGACGCGCACGATAAGTTAAAAACGTTTCCAGCGGCAATAATAACAACAAGGGAAAACAATTAGCAACAATAAAGGCCGAAAGTCCCAAAAAGTGGAGCATAGATACAACCGACGTATGTGTTTTCCATACCGCACCCAGATACGAAAGTGGAATCCAGTATGAGATACTCTCGTTCTCTCTTTTTTTCCATTTCGCTATCTCAATGGGTAAGATAACTGTGTTAGCACGATGAAAAGGGGGGTTAATTTGTGGGGGGAAGCCCATACAGTCATCATGGAAAATTCGTAAATTGCATCCACAAAAGCCCATCCATAAAACCCAGGCAGGCAAATAGATACAAATGTATCTTTGTATCTATAGGTGGATTATGGGATCGGCAGTTTGCATTGGCCATAGCGCGAAATTCTTTTCTGCTCTGCATAAAAATGCGCCATCGTCGAAGACCGAAGAAGACTGAAGACTTATAAAAATAAGATATTCGCACACACACAATACGGATTTTTGCGTGGTCTGTTTATTTTTAGAACGTCTCCGTCTCGTTTTGCTATTTGCATATAATTTTCAATGCAGTTCGGCCATGGCAAAATGTCTCGGGGGGCGGCAAAAGGGGGAGGTTTCTGGGACTGGCAAACGAAAAAGGTGATCGTCATCACCGCAGTGCGTATAAATCCAAATAAATTGGAAAATGTAGAGCATTCGAATAATGTATACCCATGAAACACTCACGTTTCTTATCTTGTTGTTTTTTGGAGTCATTTTTTCAGATATTTTTTATAATTTTCTTAAACATAGGCTGCTGTTAATTTAAAAATGTATGAGTAGTTGTTCTAATACGTATGTTTTTAATAGAAAAATTTATAAAATTCTACTTTAAGAAATTTGTATTAAGAAAAAAGTTCCTTACAGATAATTACGAATTTAAAACCACCTGATTCTGTTGCCTAATTACCTCGCGATCCAGCTAATGTATCCCCATTAAGTCAGGTAGACGGACATATTTAAATATCTCATTCGGTTAACACATTTTGCGTTTATTGCACTCTGCGTTTACAAATATGCGACAGCCTTAATATAGAAAAATCAGATAAATTATAAAAATACTCCTGTGTATTTATAAAACCTCAGAGTTGAAATTAATTTAACGACATAATTTCAATATTGACACATTAACCAGTTGCTTGAACTTTGAATTACAGTTGCAAAAAGCGTTTCGCATTAATTGTTGACACAGTTCGTACTGCAATCGCGCGTTAAGAATGAAATAATCGTAGCAAATGACTCGATACTATAACTATACTATATATCCGATGAGTACCGAACAGTGCCAAGTGCCCAAGTGACTGTTTGTTTAGATTAGATCTTTAATTTGGCCGCTGCTTGCGACTTTTCAGCACGTCATGTGGAAGAGTAATTGATTCCTTGTTTTTGCATTTAGTTGCTGTTGCGATTTCAAGAATATTTTTGCACTGGCAATGATAAATTCATCTAGCAAACTAATTGAGATCCTTTCGTGTTCCGATTTTTGCCGTTGCTTCCAAACGATCAATCAGCGTGGTGAGAAAATATTTTAAATATTTTTCATGGGATGTTATAATTTCTTATTTATGCTTAGTTGAGCTTACACACCGAAATTTCAACGGGAAAAAATCCAATAACAAAAAACTGTGCCCCTAAAACTTTTTCCATACGCTTTAAAAACCTTTTGTTTTATAAATCACTTAAATTCAAATCTAGTCACGACTCTTAAGTAAATTATAAATCTCTTTTTGACATATTTATAAGCCTTTTGTGGCAGTTATTTTTAATTTAATTATCCTGAACCCGACTAGAAATAAATCACAAACGGAATACGGGGATTTCCCTGGTCGAAATCAGTTTTCGCAATTTAAGTTGGTAAGCCAATGGAGAGGTCACACAAATACGAATATAAAATGCACCGTCCTATCTATCAAGCACAGGTATCATTTATTTAGCTTTTGCATTAGGCCTATATACATTATTTTTGGATTATAAAATGACAAATGCGGGACATATGAGAAATAACGTTCAGCGATAGCACAAAATTCAAATTAGTTTGGTAACCCAAAGGGGAATGAAAGTGAAGTGTTGTGAATTTAATTCAAATAACTCTCAAAAATGACTAATGATGAGTATGATTTTTTTTAATTTCAACCCACTTTGCTTGAGGCACACTAAATTTAGTAACTGCATTTTAACTGGTTGTCACTTGGTTTTTTTTTTAGTTTTTAATGTTTTTCAGCTGAGATTTTAGCCGCAGATGTAGTTTCGATCACACACGACACTTGAGAACGACTGAGTTGAGTTATCAACGGAACTGCGATTGGGATTCGATCCGATTGCAGTTCTAAATCGCATTGCTCGCGATCGCTGAATGGGCCGCTCCTCCAGCGCGAAAATCACAAATTCGACTGAACTTCACAAATCGTTGTAATCAAACATTTAAAATGAACATTTTTTTTCGTTAAGCAATAAACAACAATAAAAATTAAATGAGCTCTACAAATGGCGGAACACGACGACAGGCAGCAGGCAGCGTAGCAATAACAACGATACTATAGAAAAACGACGTCGCCGATCGACGAAATAAATGTACGAAATGTGCGAAATTTTGCCGCCTCCATCAACGCGTCGGCGTTAGTTAGTAGTAGTTAGTAGTTTTTTTTGTTGTCAGTATCCGCCTTTGTATCTGTATCTGTATCAGTGTCTATATCTATATCTATGTCGGCTGGCTTTAGCTCGGATTTGCCAGGCTTTATTGCCAAAGCCCAGCTGGTAAGTAATTTGCATGAGTGATTGACCCTGGCTTCAACTTGAAATACCTTTTGCCGGGTATTTTTGTGGAAATTTCGACGTCTATTTGTGCTCTCGTTAGTTCTATTAAAGTTCGTCACCTAATTTTATTACAAAATATATTTTAAAGGTTAAGACTTTGATATATATTTTATACGTCATAAAAAGCCTATCCCTGGTAAATCTTCACCAACGTCTTTCGAACATATTTACCTAGTTTTTAGCAGCACTGTACCCGGGTAATTTTTATTTAACAAAAAAAAAAAGACATGCGCATTTTTGATGTTATTATTATTTTAGCAATTTGCATACGGCTTATAGGATGTGTATTTTTAAATTCTTGTTTATAGTCTGAATTCTGTTCTTTTTCCCTTTTTTTTTGAGGGGTAACAAGGGAAATTGTTGTATCCAAGCCAACAAAAGTTGAAAATCAAAATGTGTGAAATTTGTCAGGCTGTGCAAATCGTAAATATATCTATATCGGTATGTGTAAGGTGGCTTACTTTTTATGCGCACCGGCAATACGAGTCAAGTGATCGAACGCCCTCAAAAAAAAAACTTTTGACACACAAAGAGCGCAAAAAAGAAGCCGAAAACCTGCGATTTAATTAGCGCCCAATGTTATATGACACGTGTGTATGGGCGGGCCAAAGGTTGATCGTTCCTGAACTTCCTATAGTTTAGTTTCCACTTAAATATATGTATGTTCGCCATGTACTAGGCGTTGGTCAATAACTTTTGTGAAATGTTCTCTTGCGTGACGTCGGTGACATCAAAATGAGGGAAAACTCATGAATGACCACCACCGCAAGTTGGGGGCCAGCTATAATGAATGAACCAAAGCGAACCTAATTAGTATAGTAAAAACTAAAGGGGATATATATATATATAAGCGGCTGTAGAACTAGAAGAAATGTATAGACAAGTGTTCGGGCTTTGAGATACCGAGTAACTAATTAATAAAGCTTTTCTTGGTGACTATTATAAATTTGTTTTTATTACAACTTTGCTACTTAAGTCGATGGCAAACTTTTTTGTTGATTATGAAATGTACTTGTTCTTTTAAACGATCTTAAACAAAAAAAAATTCCTACAACGTCTTCCTGAATATTTATCTGAAATACCTCTGCGATCACCTATAAAAAATATATTTTTAAAATATATATCTGTCGGCCACCAATTGACGCGGTGTTCGTGAAACTTTATACATTTGTATAAACAAACGTGTATATATTTCTTAAAAAATTCAAAAAATTTGCCATGTGCCATCTCCCATCAGCTAAATCAATGCTCACATGTTCGGTTCAATTTGCTGGTCAACATCTCATGTGATTTCTCTCTCAGTCGGTCGATTTCTCAAGGCAAGGACGTTTGGGACTTTTGCACTCGACAAAAACACTTTTTGCACAGCAAATTAAAAAACCTAGCAGTAAATAAATCAATATTCTTGGACGCAAATTGTTTTGCCCAGTTCGAGGGTAATTCAGTTCAATGAGTTCAAAAAGCTGCGCAAATTGCAGGAAGTAAATGTTTAGGAAAGAGATGTGACGAAAATAATAATGACAAAATATTATTCAGAAATTAAACTAAATGAATCGCACTAATTGCATTTTTGTCTTATTGACATCAAGGTTTATTTTCATTAAAAGCTTTAACAATGGAAAACTTTTTAAACAGATCTTTTGAAACTGGAAATAACGAAAAGATTGTTCAATATGTAAGAAACTTTCTAGTAATTGAGTTTACAAATTAAAGGGTTTTTAATTGAGGTTTCTGGTTACAGAATCAATTAATGTAAATTAATGATGGTATATATGGAAGAAGAACTCACTGAATTTTACAGTTTATCATCGTTTATGGGACTTTCGCATAAAGTTGATTTGTTATACAATTCAGGTTAACCTTGCCACAATCGAGAGATTTAATGTTGCCCCCTCAATATGCAAAAAAAAAAAAAAACAGGAAAAAAGAAAGAAATCGTTAAGCCGAGACGGCGAGATGACAATGCCTAAAAATAGCAATCGCACTTGAAATGTCGTTCCATATTAAGCCCGGAGCCCAGTTATAGTTCATTCTTTCTCTTGTCATTGTGGCTAAATTTAATCGCTGAACGTCACGTTGAGTGGGTAGGAAATGGTGCACGGATCGTACAATACTATATGGCATATAGTACGAATAATGGGGGAAGCTCTGTCGATCCCTCAGTGCAGAAATTGTAAATTACAGGCGAGCGCAGCGTAGAGCGACGCAAGTTCAAAGTCAAAATAGCAATTGAACAAGCGGCAGAGAAACAAGTCCGCCTGTCAGTCAGTTCAACATGATAATGATGATGATCATCATCATGTTGCCGTTGATCGTACAAGATCATTATGCCAATTTGTTGTTGTTTTTCCGCTCGACCGAGCATGCAAACAAATTAAGACTGAGGGCGCCGTGCCCCGACTAGCGAAATTTAATTAACATTGCCTCACTGCTGCAGCTTTTTACTGCACTGCAAAGAAAATCACTTTAAGATCTCGGAAATATGAAAATGAAATATGAAAACATAACTTTTTAAGGACCATGTCAATAATCGTTTAGATACAAACCATACTGTTCCCCTTTTTTCTTATCTAGTATTTTCTATTACATTTCTTAAAAAAAAATTAAGATGAAATATGATTTTTACACAAATTTATATAAAGACTATAACTATAATAAATATTTATATTTAGATTATACCATGTATTGTCACTGTTACCAAACTTTTCGCCAGTGAAACGCTTTCGCATGCCCTCCCACACATTTCCGCGTGCTAGCAGTGAGGCAAATTGAGCGATTAGCGCCGAGCAGAACGTGACCCACCGGATAGGAACCCCATCCCCCTACGAACCCACTGTACCTTTTACCTATCTCAGTTTAATTTCGATTTTAGATCACCATTTAGATTTGAGTTTCGTCGATTGCAGTTCGGTTTAATGCGTTCCGTCTGCTTCACTAGCTGTACTCCTCTAGAATCGTGTTTTCTTAATGATTTCATTATAAAATCCCCATTTCGATGAGTAATTGAGTAATAACAAATATAAATCATACTAAGATTGTAAAAAAAATTTAGCATTTGCCTAGATCATTTTCAATGAAGCTTGATTTTAGACAAAATATTCTTTGAATACCTATTATTTTCCAATTAGTTAAAGAACTGCATTTTAAATTAAGAAGCCAGTTTCTGCTTGCAATTTAAGACTAAATCATTGCTCTTTTTATGCTCAAAGTTTAACATTTAAAATTTACTTACCAAATCGCCTCTTAAAATCTGTAAATATAAATAAAATAAATGTGTTTAGTAAAGTTTCAATTACATTTGTAGAATTTCTTATACAGTTAAATAAAATACAATGCATAAATACAAAACTATAAAAGATGGTATGTAACCTTAACAAAAACAAATTAATATTATCTTTATAAATTAATCGCAAGCAATTATGAAATTTAAATGAAAATCTTTATCAACATTCACCATGTAAGAGATTGGTAAAGCGAAGCGAATATTTATTATTTAAGAGGGGGCGAATAAATAATAAATAATTAGAGCACATAAATTTTGATTTGTAAATGTGCGAATAATTTATTATACATTTTCCCTGCCACTTTTCATTGGCGGGGGCATGGAAGCAACTAAAAATAAATGAGTCTCGAATGTGGCCGCAAAACTTATCTTTATGCCAATAAATATAAACTTATCCCGCATGCAAATAAATTATGAGCAGCCGATGGCCACCAGTGCAGCATCGAGATGCCACCAATTTCTGTTCGAAACGTGGGGGTTTTTCCGGTGGTAGAAGGGGGCAGGTGTAGCACCTGTTGCCACCAATTAAGCGAATGGCGTTTATAAATAATGAAATGGCAAAATAGATCACAAAATTTTTATCTAACTGCAGCCAAAAAAAAATACATTTTGATCGTCGCCAAAATATATAGCTAGTAATTAATTGCGCAATTTTCGTAGACTTTGTATTTTCTAAGAATTTCCTTTTTATGGTTTGGCCTACGAATTTAACTCATCGATATGTGCTAAAATCGTATTTATTGACGTCTTTGCCACATATTGGTGACGTTATTAAAAAATCAATATTGGTATTTATCTTTATTACCTAGTAAATTAAACAAACGAAACATAAAACAAGAGAGAACGCTATAGTCGGGTTGTTGTCCCGACTATCTAATACCCGTCACTCAGCTAAAGGGAGTGCGAACGCTGTGTCGGGTTGGTGTCCCGACTAATAATCGTAACTCAGCTAAAGGGAGTGCGAGGGAGATAGATATATAATTTTTGATTGCGTATAACTTTTTAATGAATGGTCCGATTTGAAAAATGTCTTCTACATTTCGATAGGTATAAATATACACAACAAAATTGCATTTATACTTCTCGGAAATCTTTAAAGATGTGGGCGCAGGACCCATTTTAAAATCGCTAGTGGGCGATTGTGGGCGTTAGAGGGGGCGTGGCGCTCGGCTAAAATAAACTTGCGCTGCGTAGGAAGCCAAAGAATATGTGTGGAAAATCTCAACCTTCTAGCTTTTGTAGTTTCTGAGAACTCAGCGTTCATACAGACGGACAGACGGACAGACAGACAGACGGACAGACGGACATGGCTAGATCGACTCGGCTAGTGACCCTGATCAAGAATATATATACTTTATGGGGTCGGAAACGCTTCCTTCTAGCTGTTACATACTTTTGCACGAATCTAGTACACCCTTTTACTCTACGAGTAACGGGTATAAAAAGTTTTTTTATAGAGAAATCTTTAAACTTAAAATCATAAGTCACAGATACTTTTTTCGAACATTAATCAAAGCACAGTGCTAAGTTCTTTATGAACTGTGATATGGCTTTTGAATAGACAAAACAGCTGCGTACTTTAATAACTTGCCATAAATTATAAACAAAGGTTATGCTGCGTATTTCCCACATGCAAAAACAATAACGAACACCAATGGACAAAAACAGACGGCACGTGCTGTAAAACCCATTAAAAACATTTTCCGGCCGCATAAAACGACAACAAAATAGAATATTGTGAGCGTATTAAATACGAAATCTTTGTGGACAACAAAATGACATGCAAGACAAACAAATTGCGCTTAAATTTATGGCAGATGCTTAGATTTCAGTCGTCCTCTCGGCAAACAAGTGCACAATATAAAATGTGGCTATGCAAAAAAAACTCAGTTAATTATTTAAGTGTTTTTTGTTTAGAAATAAAGGGGGTAGGATTTAGAAATTTCGAAATTTTTTAAAATGTATTTTAGACCTCACTTTTAAGTTTTGAATAATTATTTAATGTTTTTTAGTGATTTCTTATTGGCAACACTCAGTACATGCAGTGGGATTATTTCTATCGCTTTTGATTGCTTGAACACACTAATTTATATATGTGTTTATAGCCTCCTAAACTAATCGGGCTTCAAGTGTGACTATTTTTAGGAACAACTGTCACCAGCTTGACCTCGAAAAGGGACTTGCCCGGAATGCTCATAGACTAAAATAAATCGTAACCTGCATTTCAAACAAAATCTTAAAATATTTAAAAAGAAAAAAGAATATATATCTTGGCATTTTCTGAAGTTTTTATGAAATATTACATTTTTTTTATTTTAGAAACAACTTAATCAAGTCAATCTTAAACTTAATCAATTGTTATTCGCAGTGTAAATATAATGTACAATTGGTGCAAGTGTGAGTCTAGTAAATGGCAATTAGAAAGGGCGACAATTTCACGTGGTTCGCACGATGTCACATGGGCAATGGGCAATAATAGACGACTTATCTAAGCAATCATCGATGATGGGCCAGCATCGCATCGAGCACTTTGAGCATAAATTGCTGACACGGGATGCAACTAATTAGAAACGCAAATTGGCAATCGGCAATTGCCACTTGAGCGGACAACAGGTGTAAATGGCACGATTATGGCATTGTGTTTCTGCGCCTTAAAAGCCCGTTGATCAATCAAATTAGCAGCGGTTTCCAAATCCCATTATTATCGGTTTTAAATGTTTTTTTTTATTTGCTATAGCCACGCGACTCTGGCATGCAGCTAACATGTGAAATTCTTTGGCTATTAGACAAAAGGTATTTTCGCCCGTGGCCCAAATGCGAAATTCGATTTGATAACGCATCTAAACCGTTTCGGGTGAAAGTAATACACCTTTTTAACAATGTCCACGTAGTACGCACTTTGATAAACTAAAACAATGCAATCATAAAAAACGCAATTTCAAAAAAACATTAGAAATAAATAAAGACAGATATTGAAAGAACGGGGCAGGGGTGTTAAGTATGGATTAATATTGATATTTGTTTTAATAAGCGTTTTTCAATAATATTTTCAATTTTCATTGTTTTTAGCAGTTTGTTTTCGCTAACTTGTGCAATCATTACTGAACAATTAACGTATTGACGTAAAAGTGTAAGATATTTTTGTATGGAGGTATATTAGAAAGCACTTAAAAATCGATATTTTCTTATAAAAAATGTGATATCATCTAACAATTCATTTTGTAAAAATAATTTCCTAAATGACTTTTGTATTACTTGAAGAGAAAAACAGATAAAAAATCAAAATTAATTTACACAAGTTCCTAAAAATCTTTTTTCTTTAAATGTACTGATATACTTCCGCATAAGTACCAAATTGCATTTACCCCTTAACTGAAATTATGGTTAACCTTCAGGAATTAGTGTGTGAAAATTAACCTCAGTGATGTGTACCGACCAAAACTAGTTGCAATAACAGCCGGTGGCAATAAAAGATGATAACACGCTAAATGAATGCATATTGCATAATCTTTCGCTATCTCTGTCCGTCCCTTTCTCTGAATGCAATTGAAAATGCAAATTGCGCGGGAATTTGAAAGAACAGCTGCTGCACCCACAACTGCGAAAATTTCCGAGTGAAATGGGAAAGCAGAAAAAAATAATCGCCACTAATTGAGGACCCGTCCATTTGAAGTTCGTATCAATTAAGAGAAATGCAAGCAATTCAATCAAGTCGGGGCCCTGTCGCAATATTTCTGGACGCGAGTGTTTCCAATCTGCTACGCGTGTGTTCCAGTTCCATTTGTATGTACAGCCGCGGTCATAAAATAAGTTCAATTTTAAATATTTAAATTATTTAGCAAAACGCATGAATTTAGGAGCTCTTTACTAAATATAACTTTCCAATTAATGGTATTTTATATACTGTGAATTTTACTAATGGAATAGTTTTATTTACAAATAATTATCAAAATATTAAAATATCCCTACACTATTATATTGACCGCTACTGTCTGTGACACGCATAACCTCACACAACCACAAGCGCAGTTACTGAGTCACCCTCGCTCGCGCTCTCTCCACCGTTTCTCTCTCTCTGGCCTCTCTCGCGGCACAGATGACAACAAGCCGGTATTTTCATACAAATTTCCGCAACGAATGAAATGCTAAAAAGCAGAAGGCCAAAAACGAACCTTAACACAAAAAATCACACTAAAAACAACACAGAATAAGCAGCGGTAGTTTGCTAGAACCAGTTGCAAAAAAAAATCAAAAGAAATGTGATTTTGGGGGTGGGGTGAAAAGAGAGAGAGACAACCAACCTGTTTTCCCTCTGCAAAATCGATGAAAAACCAATCGCCGAAAAAGCAATTTCACACGGGAACTTATCTTGCACCGATTTCGTATTATTCACTAATTGATTTTCCGATTTGTTCGCCTCCTCCTCTTCTCTGCAACTTTTAATTGTATTTGTTGCGAAAAAATTCCACTGCTCTCTCAGCGTGACGAAACGTTTTTTCAATGTTGTTTTTGCTTTTGGCTGCTTTGCTGGCAAAATCACCGATTCACTGGAATATATTCGCCATCCGGATTATCGCAAATAGCTCCAGGTGATGTTTCTGAGCTGATTTTGGTGGTTTTGGTCTCCTTTCGACGGCAAATTACACGAAAAGTCAGCAAAGCGAAGCGATTCGACGGCACGGAATAAATACAACCGCACGTTTCGTTCCAGTCCGTTTCGGTGTTCCCTTTCCGACGTTTCCCGTTTGTTTACCATCTGTATCCAAAAAGCTTGACGAGCAGAGCTCTGTTAACCCAAAACTCTGCTAGGTTTGGCGCGCGATTTAAATTTGTCAGTGGTAAGAGATTTTTTGTGGGGCTGAAGCAGTTAATTCTCAGCTGATCTGATATTGAAACAAAAATGGAAAACACTTTTTTTGTAGCCAAAATTATTCGAATATGTGAAAAGTTATCTCTTTCAAAATGGA